CGCTGCGTGCCCTGATGGCAGATGCATTCGATTGCGGCGGAAAGACTAGCCGATTGCAAACCATGAAGACAGGAGTACTCGGAATACGGCACTGAATAACGAAGGGGGAATCTTGAGTTTACGATTCTGGTAATTCATTTGCAACTGTCTAAGGCTCATATGATTTCTCCATTGATTATACTTCAAATTACGAAATACGTCAAGATGGTGCGCAGGTCTTTGCTTCTTCGAGTACCTTTGAATACTCGAATACTGGTCCCTAGCACCACGGAGAGGTGCCTGCACGTCGCTAGAGGCCTTGTTATCGCAGCGATCCCCTGCGAGGCGCTTTTTTGACGCAGGACCTAGGCTGCGGAGAACTTGGTGATGCAGCGGTCTCCTGCAGAGAACTTGGTAATGCAGCGGTCTCCTGCAGAGAACTTGTTAACGCAGCGGTCTCCTGCGAGATAGTCTTGTTCACGCAGCACCTCCCTGCAAGGATTGTTGTTAACGCAGACCTATCCTGCGAAGCACCTTCTTACACTCGCGGGGCTCGGGGCAGCGAGGGAGCACATTTTTACACTCGCGGGGCTCGGGGCAGCGAGGGAGCACATGTCTTACATCGCGGGGCTCAGGGCAGCGACAGCCGTGGCCATGGAGACTCTCAAGCCCGTAGGCAAGAGGGACACCATGACACATCGGAGTGTGAGGACCGAAGTCCTGATTTTTTTGGGCTGGGAATCCGGCTCCTTTTATAATTCTTCGGCTACGTTTCCACCAAGTAACCACTTGGGCAGATGGTAGCGAGAATCACTGTCTCGTTATTGGCGTTGAGGACACGAAAAACGTTGAGAATGGTGTTAGGAGACCTTGTGGCCTACAGAGTCAAGTTTCTACCTGGAGTCATTGCTTTCACAGCCCCCGTTGAGTGTGGCTAACCACTTCATCAACTGTTGAAAAGATAGTGATATCGCAAGAAATTGATTCTCACATCATTGAAATTGCGATTAAATCCCTCAACGTGGTGGCATTCTGCATCTGCCCGTTCTACCCACGATCACCGTCTCTTTCATGAGCGTTGAAGTGCTTCAACCGATGCCGCAATAATGGGTTGGAGACTGTGGCAGACAGTGACATTCGATTGTACCGGCTGTTGGCCATAAGATCTCCCATTGATCCCACAACGATCCTCTGCCTATTTCTAGTTTCGCCCTACTCGAACGGTACTTTTCTTTGTTGCCTCCCCTAATACTCCTGCTACCTGTCGGTGCAAACACTATGCACATACTCCCAAGTCCAGGGTACCGGTTGTTTTCCTTTGATAGAGAAGCAAATCCTAGACCTTGTTGGAAACCTAGAATAAACCTGAGTCCAGCTTCCAGGACAATAAAGTGAGTTTTTCCAGCTACCATGTCTCACGAATTAGTTTCTCATGATCGCCACCCCCTCGCAAGATTGCAACGCTACTGTCACATTGACGAGACCCAGCGCACAATAGAACCCAATGAAGCAATCAAACACCGCGCGTGAATTTAGACAGACCAGGAACGGTTCCGCGACGCAGATCCCAGGGACGACCCACGGGACAGTAGATCACGGAGGTTCTATTTGTGGCCCGCAGAGGACATCGGAAGGATCTGCAAGGGTCCAGACACGATCCACATTCCCAAACCTGACAGCCGTTAGGGCCCGATGGAACAGCGGTCTTTGTTACTTAGGAGGTATTGCTGGGCAGGAGACTATTTGGAATACCACACAGAGTTTTGGCAATAGAGATCTGATCCGCGGGTCAGTTGCCCTCGCAAGAGAGTGATTGGTCTCCCGTCGAGTGGGAAGCTGCTGCTTTCTCTATCTGGCCTATGGAACGTTCTAGAAGCTATGCCTGTCCTGCACGTTCCTCGTAGAAAGTATACTCTCTGAGCCCGACCAATCCTCTCCCTATCTGCTCCAACTCGATGGCAAGTCTGCCAACTCTAGCATATGGTTTTTGAAATCAACTTCACTTGTGTAAGGACAAGATCGTAGATCTAAACAAAGTCTCCGCTTTGTGCTTTAAGGGCCGAGAAACCGACTGGTCCCGGCCAACCCACAAAGTTTATTTCAAGCACCCAGTGCATCTCGACTATTACTCTGGCGACCGAGAATATTTACGAATGGAGTTATTTTCTTCTAGAATATACTATACTTCGTCAGCGCGAGATCTTGGATACTGTACCCCTAGTTTTCCTCTGAATCCTCGGACTCTGGGACATTTTTAATCACGGAAATCCAACAAGCAAGTGGAGCAGAAGGCTATAGATAAGCTTTCGATGAAGTTCAACCTTGAGTCCTTATGAAAGCCGCATTCTCTCACCGAGCGAGCGTTTCCATGATTCATCAAACCTTCGTTGTCGATATGATTCGGAATTCGCCTACTGATCGACGGGCCCGCTCATGATTCCACGGTCTGCGCGAAATTTATTTCCTCGTGACTTGAGTCTGCCAGTTTTGGACTGACTCGGAAAGCCTTTGCTTCTCGGCAAATATGACTAGTGCGTGGTTCGAAAATAAGCCGTATGCCTCAGCTTCTACTCTACAGATCACTCTGCCTTCGACCACCCATCTAATCGAATCCATTTGAAGATGCAACCAAGGATATTACCTCCAGCTGACAAGATTTAAGTGGGTTTTGAAATTTTACAGGGAGCCCCCTTGCTACCATGTTCTGATCTTGTTCCGAGGACACATATAGTCATGTGAGTCTTTATACAATGCCCGCAGTAATTTCCAGGCCGCATGGGAAGACATACTCCTGAACTAGAGAGACAAGGATGAAAAATGTGCAAGTATAGCTGATTTATAACAGCACTGTAAACAAGTCTCTCTCGAAGGCACACAGAAAAGTGCTCCATTTCATACAGTTCGACATCTGGGATACTCTCGATGCTGTTGTGATTCCAAGGATGAGTGATTTCTTTGTTTTTATAATTACATGAGGGGATATGTACAGCCACGACCGAATTTCTCATGCTGCGGCTTCCTTGTGGAGCTATCACAGGTCTTTCTTTATAGCAACGTGCACCAGGGCTAGTTATCGAGATAGTTGACCTCTGTTGCTCCGATATCACGACGTAAACCGCATGACAACAAATTGGTGCTATTTAATGTAAGCGTTCTATTGAATGCTATTCAAGCTTCCTGGCTGCACAAACACGATGCACATAGTCCCACATTGAAGATGACGATCGAGCTTCTTTAGGCCAACACGGGATTGATACTCGCGTCGCGCGACCTGTGACAGAGGATCAGCTTGTAATGAGTAAATGATAAAAGGCGATAACATAAAATGTATTTCGTACCTAGTCTGGAGCTTTCTGTTTGACTTGATCCATTGCTATCGGTCTGGCTAGCCTCGGCCGCGAGGATTGTTTCAAACCATTTGTCAATGTTACTCTTGAAGGGAATCTCGTTTGGGAGAGCCGCCAATGAAGCCTTACGGTCGACCGAGCCACGAACTGCTTTTGATTGTTTTTGATCCACTGAACGATCAGAGGCTCTGGCGCCAGTGCGACGGCACTTTCGCAGAATGTGGTACTTCTTCCCCCGTAGAGACTCGGTGCTTCGGGCCACGCGATGTTGTTCGTAATATGCGTCGGAGCGGGCTTTCCATGACAGCTCCTGATGGGCATCCAGCCAAGAGAGAAGATTCTTCTCCTCCCATTCCGGCCAGCCTGATGCGCTACGTGGGGACATGGTGATGCTCAGGCAAGTGGTAGAAATGGGAAGAATGGGCGAAGATAACAGCACAAAGTGAACTTGAAGGTGTAGGTTTGTTGAGTTTAAAAATCTTTTCATCACTCAGTCAACTACAAAGATCCTACCGTTGTATTAAAAAGACCATTTTTTGATTATGAGCCATGGCCCAGTCTGGTGAGCTGGTCTCAGGCGCTGATCGCTCACCAGTCCAAACATGCCCTCAATTTTTATGCACCCTGGGAAAAAGGGGGCTGTTGAGAAACAGGAACGTTGAAGCGAAGGAGACGCTGTGGAATTATTTACTGGCCATACAGCATAGTTCTACCGCTTCGTTGGAGCATGTGCTTCTAGGCCGCCTTTTCGTACAACATTCGTTGCCTTATTGTCCATCGTCCACATGAATTTATCTGTCAACGTTGGTATGACAGAAAATGTGGAATTCAAAATATGAGGGTCTCAACGATGAAAGTCTAAGATCATTTAGTGAGTCATGGCCTAAGATTCATTCTAAATAAAGCCCCGGTTGTAGAAAGCATGGGTGGGAATTGGTTGACCTTGCGCCCCCATTGCAAGCAGCAAAGCACTCAATTCTGTTTTCACTACAAACATATATTAAAGCCAGTGTACCCTTTTATTCTACTGTACACTCAAGCAGAATCGGAAAGAATCTCCAACTCCTCGTGGCTAAAACGCAAGTATGGGTGGAGTTCGAAAAGTGACGCACACTCATCGAGGACTAGACTTTCGAAGCAGACTGCAACGTGCATTGTCATTGTCATCCTCCGACTCTGAGACAACAAGCACTCCATCAGCATCTGAGACAGGCGATACAATAGAGGACGAGGTTTTGCAGGACGGAAACGACTGCTCTGACGATCAGGAAAACAGCAACTCAGCCGACAGGAGTGTAGAGGCTCCACATGAGCGGAGAATGGAGCGTAAACTTGAAAGAGACGTGGGAATTTCCAAACAGCGTCAGCTCCATGGAGAAGGCAATGCGATAGCACTCGAATGTTTGGCGGAGTAAGTATCGACCTCATACAGAATATGACTTCGGGATTGCCTGCTGACAACGTCCAGACTCAATACCCGAATGAAGTCAGTTGTGTATCAACCTTCGAGTGAAAACATGAAGCGCCAATCCTCTATGCAGGTCTATTGAGAGCTCATCCTGCGTCCACAGCACCTGCAACGAACCCGTTCGCAACGACTTGGCTGATATCTTTGCTCGATCGGCGATCATGGAGACTGAGATGGACAAAGTGGCAAGTCAGGGAGGCAACAAAGCTACAGGGGGCCAGAAAACCGGCCGATATCTGCGTCGGGGCAACAGTGATTAAAGTTTGATTATCAGCCATTTGGACCAGAGCAAGGTATCAGCTCGTGCTGGCCCTGAGGTATCTGTACATGGATCGACTGCCAAATACCAAATGGAATATAATGCGAGCAAGCCTATATCCGTCCGTGCATTGGTTAGCTGCTGAGTATGCCTCGGTGGGTTCGATACCAAACTGGCAATTTGTCCACTCCTGTGCCAATTTCTCATTGTGCATTGGGATCTTTGTTTCACCAATACTCCACTAAGCTACACAACACCTTATTAATATGAATGGAAATGTAACTTAGCGTACCGAAAGGGATTCTCGAGGCCAACCGGCTGTAGTCATGAGATAATTTAGTCGAGCCTTCCAAGTTGCTTTCAGTTTAAGCCTTGGTGACCATTTGTACAGTACTCTTGGCTCATCAGTTCCATACCCAGGTTTGGATCATCGAAAGTCTTGCCCGGGGAAAGGAAAGTTCAGAGTAGTATTACAAGATCACACGTTTTTGCAAATGACTTGAAATCGGTCTAAACTATTGTAGACGAGATCCTTCTCCCATCAGTGTGAGATTTAGAACTAAAGAGTCACAGCTCTCTCTTCCAGAATTTGCCAAAATTACAAGGCTAATCGGTAAAGGGCTCGAGTCGGGTCGCATTACTCTCAATCGGCTACTTCTACCCTCGTCATCATTCTGTTGGTTGGTCGGAAATTTGATTCGGAGAAGCTGAGAGGGAAATCGTGGCCCTGAGCAGCCATGCCTTCATTCTCGGGCCCGTCTGTGTAAATAACCCCAGATCCCGGCAAATAATATAAGCTTCTTCTTTGTTGGGCCCCCAGATGGGATACACCTCTGGCCGGTAGATGTATGCCAAGTCATCAGTGCTACTGTGGAATGGGCTGCAACGCTACAAAGCGTATAGCCAAGCAATAGTTATGAATGCCAGAGAGGTGATTTTTGGCTAGACCAGAAAGTAGTCACACATCCCTGAAAGGCCTCTTTCTCGCCCTTCAGGAGAAATGGGTTTCAACGCCGCGTCTGTCGCCCGAGCAGAACCAGACCAACTCAGAACGGGAAAACGATTCCTCGTTTTCAATGAATACCGACGTCATAAAAGCATTTGCTCGTCCGTTTAAGATGGGACGTATACTAGCATACTGTAAAATAATTAAATTGTCGCTGCAGTCTCCACATCTTACATGAGAAACCTGGACAGATTCTTCACGTCCAGATTATCATCTTTACGAGCAAGTTTCCAGAAAGCACAGCCAAGGAATAGAGAAAGGCAAGGGCGTCACAGCTCAGACAAAAAGAAAATGCGTACGCTCATGCCAACTTGGACTGATCTACAGTATGTGTGTGTAATTCATTTACGCTGACCCCTCGTCGAAACGATATGCAGCCTCTGATCTACAGTAGAATTCGAAAACAGTTTACCCCTTAGGCAAACACTCTTTGTTTCCCAGGCCGTAATTAAAACAGAACTTAGCCCAATTTGATCAAGTCGTAAACAATCCTAGCCTATGAGTGGATAGTAATTTACCGTCCACCCGGAAAAACACTAATCCTGTTTCGGCCACGACCCGACAGACAAAAAGTGTTTGCCTAAGGGGTAAACTGTTTTCGAATTCTACTGTACCTGAGACCTGGTGGACCTTGACTATTGCGCGGACGTTGTGGTTGATACTATTGCGATATAAATTATTGTGTTGTGTGCCGAGCGGGAGCTAACGCCAGACGAATGGCGGACCCACCCACGGGGGCTCCCGAGCCCCTTGCCACCACAACCACGCGAAGAGGCACAGGGATCGTCGGAACAGAAAACCTTGCACCAACGACCACGGTCCGGACTAGGAGACATGCACGAGTGGAAAGCGAGCAGACCCACGCGGCCCCGGAACCCGTGGAACTGACCAATACCGGAACCAGCACTGGACGAGTGACAACCAGAGAGATTTGGCAGATTATCGTACACCTGCAACACACCATCGAGGAGCAAACCACGCTCATTCGCGCCACCGGGACCGAACTGAGAGAAGTGAAAGATAACCAGAACGAGCTCCAAACTCAGAATGAGAAGCTACAGGAAGAGATTGCAGCGCTACGGTCGCAGGTAAAGGAGAGGAACGCTCCAACCCCGACACGAACATGGGCGGCCGTTGCGGCCAGCACGGACAATCCGCAACCCCGGGAGACCCGGCGACAAACTGACAAAGACAAGAACTGCGTCCGAATCAGCACCCAGCGATCTGCCACCGAAGCGTTGGGCGCAGATAATAACGGAGACGCGTTCGGCCGCTACCTCCCCACCCCGGCTGCGAACGCCCACATCAGGACGGCACTGTCGAAGACGCTATCCACCCAGGACGCACAGGTTGCGGGGATTGGTACTACCAAGACCGGATATGTGATCCGATTCAAAAACCAAGCGTCGGCCGAAACGGCCCGCACCAACACCGAGTGGCTGACCGAGCTGGGCAACGACACTAAACTGGTGAAGCCACGTTTCGGAGTCGCCGTTCACCATATCCCGACCGTTGGGTTGGACCTCGAAAACAGGAAAACCGAAGCCATTGAAAAGATCGCAAATGAGAACGATCTCACCGACCGCGGATTTCGAATCGAAGACATAGCCTGGCTGAAGAAAAGAGACAAAGAACTGGGAACGTTCGCCTCAATAGGCATCTGGTTCGACTCACTAGAGGCAGCAGAATGGATGCTGGACAATGGCCTGTTGATTGATCAACGGTACATTGGAAGAGTGGAAAAGTGTGAGATCAAAAAGAAACGATGCTTCCGATGCCAAGGATTCGGCCATCTAGCGTGGTCGTGTAAAGAGACACCCCAATGTGGCCACTGTGGCGGCCAACATGAGCGAGAAAGATGTCCCCCGGGCATCAGAGCGCGCTGCTTGGAATGCAGCGGCGAACATCCGACTGGAGACTTGCTATGCCCGACGCCAGCCACGGCACCCCCATCGCAATGTTAGACAACAACCTCAGAATTCTACAACTAAACACCATGAAATCGAGGGCGGGCATGGAAGCTCTCATCAACGACCATCAGAGCCAGAAACTAGACGTGCTCCTTATCCAAGAACCGTCGATCACTGCCTACCGAACACACGTGAACCACAGCGCGTGGCGACTCTATCAACCCACAGTAGAAAGCGATTCGGTTCGATACCGAAGCCTTATCTACGTCAATCGCAAACTCTCAACCTCCTCTCACCGACAAGTGAGATGCAATCACCCGGATCTGACGGCGATCAAAGTCTGGACGGCCGACTCCCAAATTCTGATCTTCTCAGTCTACATTCCGCCCGTACCGATGCACACGCCTGATGGAGCATCAGCGGAGGCGACCTTATCGGCAATCCACGACACTATTCAAAACGTCACACGAGACGACAGCAGAACCTTTAGCCTTATTTTGGCCGGAGATTTCAATCGCCACCACCCAGCGTGGGGGAGCAACCACATTCAACCTCGATTTATCGAGGACGCTGGGGAACTGATCAATTTCTTCCATGATTATGGCCTCCAGAGCTGCCTCCCCCGGGGAACCGCGACCTTCTGGTCGTTAAGCCACCCGGGGAGAAGTTCCACGATCGACCAGACAGTGACAAACAGACCGGACCTACTCTTCAAATGCCACCTCTACCACGACAACTATGGTTCAGATCACCGAGGCACTTATTCAGAATGGTACCTCCAAGCGCGACGCAACCCCACCAGCAAGACGAGAAAGGCGTACGACCGAGCGGACTGGGAGAAGAT